TCGAATTTTTTTCTGATCTCAGTTGAAGCTTCTATTTGTTATATTTTCTCAGTGGCATTTTTTTTTTTTTTTGGAAGTGAGGCTTAAAGCAGTTGCCATTAATAAAAAAATAAAAAGATTAAAAAAGTGAAATGTTTTAGACGACAATAATTATATTTTATGTTTCTATTGATACAGATTTAATACTAGGTGGACGATCAATGAATATCAAAACAGTCACTTTAAATTGAATAATCTACCCCTAGAGAAGAGTGTACTCCCCTTATAAAAAATTATTTTTACTCATTCTCGTGCTTTTTCTGTGGCCCAATATCACTCAGTAATTTGATTCTGATTTTACAGAAATGGAATAGTCTATGAATATTTTCCAATCAAAGTGAATAAAATATTGTCTAAAATACTCTAGATCCCTTCATTTCAAGCTCTCCCTGACGTTTTGGCCGAATAACTGAATACAGATATTTCTTTTGCCGTGTCTTCCTGTGAACATTGCCCCAGTGATAGCTTCATATTTCTCTCATCTCATCATTCGGAAGCTATTTATCCACTTTTTTCTACTGCCTCCTTCAAAATTCCCCCTCCCCCATCGTTGAATGCCTGTTCAGCCCCCACGCATTCAGACACATTTATTCCCGTAAAGATAGTGACACTTATGGTTTATTCTAAGACTGAATCTGTGTTGCCCAGTGACTAAGGACTTAAGCATGCACACTGCTTCTACGCTTACCCTCCTACCTAACTTGACTACTCAACTTTTTATTTCTTTCCCTCAGATTCTCTGTTTTGGCACAGTTCAGTTAACACACCACTGCCAGGCCACTAATTGATTTCTGAAACCTGACATTTGTTTTTTGTTTTCTCCTATCTTCACTAATGGTACAGCACTACTAAGCAGGAAGGAATGCAAAGAACTAGAAAGTTCAAAGTAATTGAGGATCTGTCCATTCACACTGTCTGGCATCACGCCAATGTAGAACCTGGAACATTTGAAAAATATTTATCAAGTTTTAACCCTTTTTGCTAAGTCGATGAAGCAGGTTTGCAGCTGTGGCATTTGTGTTCGCAGCAACAGCAAGTCAGCTTGGTTGAACATGTTCTTTATATGTTCAGAACCCCATGGCAAATGTCTCAGAAAAGGATTACTTTCCAATTTCCGTACTATTGTACAGTGCTAAGCTGGTTATTTTCTAAGATTGCAGAGTTGGGCATTTGAGAGAAACCATTACTTAAAAATGGCAGCCCTATTTCATGAATTTTTATGTCAGAAATGAAATTTAAATAAATGCTACTGTATTTGAGCAAAAAAAATTGTATTCAGCTTTTCTATTGTAAATTTGTTGCGAGCTCAGCCTTAGCTAGGTTCATATCTATATTTATTAAGAAAAGTAGAAATGTGAAAAAAATTAACAGGATTATAAAAATTTTGTTAACCATTTGTGAAATAGTTGGGTTCCCCTCCCACTGGGAAAGCTTTTGTAAATGAAAGCATGTTAAAAAAATGGGGTGAAATATAGAAACATCTCCAGTAAAATAACTATATTTTATTACATTGAAAACTTAGGTTGAAATAACAGGCCACTGATGCTCTGGTACAAAGAAAGACAAAAGGAAAGGTCTAGGAAGGCTTAAAAGCAAATAAAAATATAAATAGATACCAAATTGTATTAAATCTAGATTAGATTTAAAGTTAGAATACAAAAGTTCTATTAAGAGTTATCTATATCACACTCAGGTTCGATCATGTTATCAGCATTAAATAACTAAAACCTTTCAAAGTTCAATTTTCAAAAAAGTTATATTAAATCCCATGCCAATTCTACAACCTGTTTCTAAGTTATTTAATTACATAATTGGGTTCAATATTAGAGAAAATCAGGACAGCTTTTTAAAGGTGAAGGTGGATAGTATGGAATTGTTTGCTTAGAAAAAAATTTGCAAAAACACTTACGAAATAGTACTTTGGAAACATCAAAGTACTCATCAACCATTATCTGAAAGCAGTGATCACAGCTATAAAAATGAATCATTTATTAACAAGAAGGGAATGAAAAGGAGAAAAAAATATATTTTACAGCACAATTTTATGTTTTCTAATAATAAATACCTCTCATACTTTATGTGTATACTAATTTTTTTAATCTACACACTGAAATGAGATCCATACCTTTGATAGACCCACTCTGAAGTGAACGTTTTTCTAAGAACTCGTTTTTTTAAAGCTGTTTTACTGTGAAATGATGAGTAGGCTGTTGTATTGTAAAATTGTCTAATAGGATAGTGTGCTGTCAACCTATATACATATGTAGTAATATTCCAGGCATTTTTATTGCAGTTTCTTGTTCTGGCTTCCCCAAAAGCCAGATAAAATCATGTACAAGACTATTAAGGATTAAGGGAAGTGGTTTCCTTAGGTGATTGCTGGCAAAAATTCACCTTCCTATTATAACATAATAAATGGACGGTAATATATTTGGCTATTACTTTCCTACAAATTTGGGTTCCTAGTTTTCAGAGCTGCTGCGTGTCTAATATTTGTGGCTTCTTTGGTTCTCTTTTCGTAGGAAAAGGTATTAGGTAAATGTGCTACGTTTCTGTTTTGTAAATAGCAAACTCCATTTTTTGAACTTACAGTGCTAACAAAAATAAGTCAAAGATGTAATGTCTATTTAAATACATTTGATCTAGTCGTTAGTGCTTAAATTAGATTCCATGCTTCGGCTAGAATCAACAGGGTAAATATTAAAAACTTCAAAATTCGTATGGCCCATCCCCCTTGCCTCCACACACAGATATGAGTTAGAAATGTGTGTCAAAACTTCTAACCATTTAAATACTGTAGGAAAAAACAAGCTTTTATGCAAAGACAAAAAAATCTTGCCATTAAACCTTTTATTCAAGACATTCCGAATTTTCTTTGCTAAATGGATATGTTCACTGCTAAAGATACAGAGAGACAAGAGCTGTTTTTAAATTTGTTTATCACACCGCCCCTAGTTTTCCGCTAAAGAAAAGTACATTTTGTATATTTAAAAATACCCACTCATTAAACAAGTCTTTAAAAACCTTAGCGCCCCCACCTAGCTGCCTTCTGGGTTTCAGCTTTTGAGTTTCAGGTCCTTGCACAACACCTAAGACGTGCAAAACTCTTTTTCTCCCTAATCCTGTCAGAGAACAGTCCGAAGAGATCTCCCTCCACGTCTCCACCCTAATTCCCTCTCTTCCTAGATTCCACCCGCTTCTCCCGGTCCCTCCGCCCCCGGCTCCGCCAGCCCAATCTGTCACAGAAGTTGTGTACAAACTGCGCGGCCGCCCTGAGCGCGAAGCTCGTGGCCCAAGAGGGGTGCGGTCGGCCCGGCGGAGGCGGGGCCCTGGGAGAACTCCTCCCTTCTCATAGGCTAGCCCCTCCGGCCCGGCCGGCCTCGGGGCCTCGCGATTGGCCGCAGGGCTGCCAGTTTGGTTGGCGGGCCCCGCCCACTCGGAGTTGGGTAAAATACAGGCGGGCGTCAAGTGTCAGTAGTCGCGGGGCAGGTACGCGCGCTTGCAGCTCGCTCGCGGAGACCGGCGGTGGCGGGAGCGGGCTCCGGCGAGTGAGAGAGCGCGGTGGGGCGGGGCGGGAGAAAGTGGCCGCCCGGAGGACGTTGGCGTTTACGCGTGGCGGAGCGGAAGAGTTTTGCTTTTTGTGCGCGCCTTCGAAACCCGCGCCTGTTGTTGCCTGAGGGGTCCGCCCGGAGCCTCCCCTCCTCCGCCCGCGGCCCCGCGCCGAGCTCGCCGGCCCGAGCCAGCGTGGGCGAGGTGGGAAGCGCGCTCGACCCGCGCCCCGCGCCCGGAGCCGACCCCCGAGTGCCCATGGCTACGCGGGTCCTGACCATGAGCGCCCGCCTGGGACCCGTGCCCCAGCCGCCGGCCCCGCAGGACGAGCCGGTGTTCGCGCAGCTCAAGCCCGTGCTGGGCGCTGCGAACCCGGCCCGCGACGCGGCGCTCTTCCCCGGCGACGAGCTGAAGCACCCG